AGAGTATCCAACCCTTCTGATATCATGTCCAATCCTTGATCCTGCATATGCATCAAAACGAAGGGTTTAAATGACAGCCATATAAGCAGGTTCTTGAATAAAGAGACTACACAAGGGGATACATATGATTTACCTGCTTCATTTTCCGCATTTCATACTCTTGCCTGAACTGGCTCGACTCCTCAGTGTGTTGGAAGTACTCATCATCAAATCGGCCGTCTTTATCAATTCAAATGTGCAGATCAAAAATATAATTAATTCATGGTATCCACAACTAAAAGTAGAAAGATTCAAAAAAATGGTTAAACGAAATTTAACCGAGTTTAATGCATCACCTGAGTCAAATTTTATTTCAGTGCGTGAAGCAGAGGATGTCCAACCCCCATTCTTCTTTGTGGAAGTAGCAGTCCCATCTGGTATGGCTTGAATCCTATCGGGCAATGCAAGCACCAAATCATTTCGAGTGGTAAGATCTTCAGTTGATAGCCCCTTCACCTGTAAATAGATAATGAGACCATCGATGCAATCTAGAGATAGAAGATATGCAATTCAAATCCAATGGCTTAACTTTAATGAAGTATAAAAATCCCAAAACCAAACTAAATGCATAATGAATTTAAGGAACCAATCCTTTAATCACAATCTTCTCATCAATTCATATGAAACATCTAGGTTTTATGATGGAATTTGAGTAATCAGAGTAAAATTTAAAAATATTTGTAAAGACAATGAACACACACCCTCTTTAGAGCCAATCTCTGCAACTTGGGTATCTCCTCCAGTAATCGAGCCTTAGTACGACGAATCTCCGCATTCAACGCCACCACCGACGCCCTATTCTTTTCTCCGGAAGCATCCTCCGCTTTCTGCACAACAAAAAAAATACACCCAAAATAGAATCCAATCCTCCTCGCCGCAAAATTAAAATACTCAATCCTCTACGAATTACTCCAAACCACAAGTAATCCACTGAATTAAACCTACATCAGAAAAATAAAAAGCTACCAATTGGATAACCTTGATTTCCCTATCCAGCAGCACAAGGAGTAGAAACTGAGAAATTGACTGAGGGATCGGGGTCAAACCTGGAGGGCAGCTTCAATGTCGGCTTCGACAGTAGCATAAAGTCGAGCAAAGGCATCGTCGCCGGAGACATTGAGATCCCTCTGCTTCTCTACGTCGTATTTGTCATACTTCTGGCAGATCGCGTCTACTCTGGTCAAAAGGTCGATGACGCTCATCTTCGATTCTTCGCCTCCGTGCTCCGGTAGGCTTTCGGTTGACTTACAGCGGTGAGATCGGTGAGCGCGGTGAGAGATATCTTCAGAAGCTGTCTAAACAGAATTTCTTCCAATTATTTCCTCGCCGTGTCAACTTAGAAGCTTTGAAATTAATATGAAAATTAATTAATTAATTAAACTTGCTTTCCCCAAGTATAATAACATCCTCTTAGCTGCTTTGACCACATATTTTGTATTTATTTTCCAATTTTTTCTCGGTTCTCTCATATAATCTTTAACGAGAGACCGGTTACCAGTGATGCGGACTACATCCGTACCTTCTAACCTAGTATATTTTTTAACGAGAGACCTGTCACTAGTGATGCGGACCACATTCGTACCTTCTAATCTAGTATGATGTACATGCACATATCAGTGCAGTACCAACATTATGCACGTGTGGTTAGGGGTCTCCAACTATTCTCTAACCGTTATCTAGTCAAAGCAGGGCAAGAGACCCATGAGGGTCGCTCCCTCTTGTGTCACATTTGCATCGTGATAGTAGTAATCTGTAGCAAATAACAAACTCCATGTTGTATGATAGTAGATCAGAGTGATGTACACTAGGACTAGAACACAGTTATCTAGATACCTCGAACTTAGCTACAGTGTAGCCTAGTTAGAGAGCTCTAAGAAACGAGCAAGTTAGAGAGAGGTTTGTTGGGTTAAATGAGAATCTAAATGCCAGAGAGGTCGAGGCGAGCCTACTATTTGGGTATAAGCAAGAGCTCCTAGGGGTGAATTGACAAGTAGGCTCGAGAAAACTGAACTATGAAAATAAATAGATCAATTACAAAGATTCTTGGACGGGAGTGATTACTAGACCCTACCGAATAGGTGATGAAGGAAAGTGAATTACTAATTGAGACTTGAATATCGACGGACGATGATGGTGTGAAGAAGCTAATTGGGCTATGGAACTGGAAGATCGAAGTCTAAAGTAGACTCTAGAGTTTTTGTTGGGTCGTATCATGTTTAATAGCGAAAAATTTTATTTGATTTTTATTTAATGTTATTTCATGGGATCCCTTTATTATTATTATTTTTTTTAAATTTAAACTTGATTTCTTTTTCATTTATTTTTAAATAATGACCTTTCCTCTCGGGTCGGGTCGGGTCAGTTCTTTGTGCCGTAACCTTGGTCGACGAGTCACTCGTTTTTGCATTGAATATATATGCCAATGTTACGGCTATGGGGTTTTCTTTTGACTGCCGAATGCTCCAATTGGCAGTTCAGTTTTCATCATCAGTGTGAGTGAATCTGGCTGACTCTTTGTTTCTCTGACGATTTAATGATTTTTAGTAGCGTGATCAAGATTCTCCGAGGTATGTATAAATTTTCTTGCAAAGGTTCGAAGCCTTATAAGTGTTCTTGATACGTAGAAGTTGGCTGACTTTTTGGGGGTTTCTAGGCTTCTCTTGCGTTATCTAGGCCTTCTTTTGATATCGGGACGGTTGACATATCAAGAATGCTAGCCTTTGCTAGAGCGTATTACTGCTAGTGTTAGTTGTTGGGTTGTACATTCCCTTTCCTGTGCTAATAGGTTGAAACTCATTCATTATGTTTTTAGAGTTTTCAGGTGTTCTATGTCAGTGTCTTTGTGCTTCTTGCTCGGGTTATCAATCAGGTTGAACACGTCGCCAAGGTAGTCTGGGCAAATATTTTCCGTCCACATAGGGAGGATGATCTTGGTATTAGGCATTAGGCATCATAAGTCTGAGAACTTTGTTACTGTGATGAAGCTTCTTTGATTTTGATAGTTAGGGCTAATTCCCTATGGGAAACCTGGGTTCTGGCTTATATGCTGCAAGATTGCTCTATTTGGCCAGTGAGGCCTTCTGTGCAGGGATCTTAATGTTTCATCACTATATTGAGTCCTAATCTCTCGAATTAAAGCTCCTCTTGAGAACATTAGAAACAATCAAAAGCACATCAATAACAATGGCTTTCAATATTTTGAACCTAACATAGTGACTGAAATTAGGGTTTCTAACAACGACGAAGTAAATGGTCAAAATCACCAATTAGGGACTCAAAGTTTGGGGATAAAGGAAGTAGTAGTTCTCGTGTATTAAGAAGTTTGAAGGGAAAAGCTTAGCGAAAAGTCATAGGCTGGTTCTATAAACAATTCTTGTTCTATGATAGGAAAAGAAAGAAAAAGGAAATAAGGTTGTTTTGTAAGATGAGAAACAAAACTTATATTTTACCAATGAAATTTGTGATTGATTCATTTCATACGAAATGAATATAATGTATTTGCAACAGCCCAAGCCCACTGCTAGTAGATATTGTTCTCTTTGGGCTTTCCATTTCGGACTTCTCCTCAAAGTTTTTAAAACGCGTCTACTAGAGAGAGATTTCCATACCCTTGTAAAGAATGCGTCGTTCTCCTCCCCAGCTGATATGGGATCTCACAATCCACCTCACTTTGGGTCCCAGCGTCCTTGCTGGCCACACCGCCTCTTGTCTACCCTTCCTATGCCTTTTTCGTCCAACTATGACAAACTCTAAAGGGACCATTTTAGCCGGGGAATTTGGGATTTCTTCATGGTTTTGGGGAACTTGTTGGAGACAGGACTGATTTTGATTAAACTGATGGATAAGGTTATTTGGTTAGAATGATATTACCTTAAATAGACAAACTTCTATTAAGAAAAGGAAACAATCTAATCTATTACATTCAGAAAATTTGAAATCTCAACTTCAGAGCTCTTCAAATTTCTACAATTAGAATGTTAAATCTATGACATTTCTAGAAGTTTTAAGATTTTAGTTTGCCTCTTCCGGAATTATCTTACAGTTTTGGCTGTCAACACATCTGTATCACTTTATGTCATAAAGGAGATCAGTTGATGTTTCTATAGGAATTCTCCAGTAAATTCTCTCTCATTCCCTTCAGTTTTAGATTTGCGGATCTGACTAGACTCTAGAGCATTGTGTGTGTGTGTGTGTCTTTTTATTTATTTATTTTTTAAATTTTTAATTATTTTTAATTTTTAATTTATTATTTTATTTTTTTATGTTCAATAGTGTCCTTTGATGGCGTTTCTTACTTTTCCATCCCTTGTCTTGGAAAACGTTTTTGATTGTAAGATTGAGCTATATCTTGTCCTACGCTCATCCAGTAATTGTTTTCTAGTGTAGAACAAAGTAATCTTGTGAATGTAATTTATGCAATGTGAGGGAGCTAGTTTTTTTTTCCCCATCTAGGCTTAAATTTAATCACTAGGAGTATTATGAGTTTTGCTGGTTTTTTCCCCATCTAAGCTTTATATTTCATGTATGGTTATCTGTTTTAAATATTCATATGGGGACATGCTTAATAATGAAATCTTTGATTGGATTAATTGATAATATATGGTATAGCGGAATTCAATTATCTGTCAAAGGGACAACTAACAAGCTGTAGATCTAGAAGCATTACAAGGTCTTGGGTTCAAAATTGTGTAGCCATTTGACTACCAATCTTTACGGGATTCCCAGCAGTAAGTATGGTAGAATTAGACAATGTTCTGTAGCGGAGAATCTTCAAGGGATATTTGATTGATACTCTCAGACAATTCCCCTGAAGCTTTTCTCAGAGCCATATATGTTGGTTGATCCTAGGTTTCACTCATACTAATTGTGAGTGAAAAGTCACCTAAAAGGTCCACAAACAAGCCCTATTTGATCCAGTAATTTCCTTGCATTAAGTTTGAGTATGTAGAATCCAAAAAATGGTGTTTAACTGATGTTTCAAACCTGTTCAGGACTTATATTCATATCTGTAATTTGGACAATCCATGCAGTGATATTGTAGAAGGTATACAATTATATACATTTCGCTTCTTCACCTCTTGGTCTTGCAACTCCGAGCAACTAAAACACCGGTTGGTGGACTAGTCATCACCAACTGGCATCGGCTATGCAACCAGTATGAGTAATGGACGGCACCCAGTGAAGCTCTAACTCTGAAAGTTCCTCTGATGTTATAGATAACTTTGTTGTTCTGTACCTGCCGTCGAAGTATGAACCCGGAATTCTGTGGCAAGTAAACCAGACTGGATATCAGGTGAACAGGTTGTAACCTCACTTCTCTCTTTCTTTGACTGAAAGGCTGGATTGCTTGAGTTGCTATGAGTCTATCCCCAAAAAAGAGCTCTATGTCTGCATTTTCATATCTTACATCGATTCTGTGATTCGGGTTGGTGAAGTTTGCGAGAACGGTGAAGTCCCCATTGAGATATTCTGGTGCGTCGAAGTAGATGGTGCTGAGGCTCGCATTGGGTATGTCAAACATAGGATTTCTTGGTTTAACAACCAAGAAAATGATCAAAGTTGCAATTCCAAGGAAGATGAGGAGAAGACTAAAAATGAGACACAAGATTGCAAAACACCATATAATTGGATTGGTTTGGCGTGGCCGAGCTTGCTGTAGTAATTGTGATTTTCTGTAGTTACTGGAATCTATGGTATTTGGATTCAGTAGTGGAGTCTGTGGTCTAGTAGCTTGATTTTGTATGACTATTTGCTCCAAAGGAGTCAGGTCTGCCTGTCTTGAAGGTGAAGCAGCAGGGATAAGAGCAGCAGATGCTTGAGTGTCTGCTGCTGAGGCAGGGGATGGTATGGTTGTTGGTAGAGCTGCTGCTTCATGGGACGGTGAACTTGCCGACGGAGGCACGAGAGGGCTTGGCGGCGGTGGTGGTAGCGGAGGAGGAGATAGAGGAGGCATCTAAGCAAGGCTGAATGAGAATCCTCAGAATCAAGGATAAGTAAAAGAAAATGGGGAACTAAAGAAGCTTTTGATAAAGGGTGTGAGGCCAATTAACTAGGGTGTTTATTGATATTGGGAAAAGAGGGATGTGCTTTAAAAGCTGAAATAAAGTTGAACCAAAACAGGTGTCTGTATTTGAATAACAACTTCAGCTTTTGGAATTGCAGTTCCCTCCGAGTAAAGCTCCAAAGGGAATTTGTGGTGATACCACAAACTTACATGAGGCACGTCCTTGCTTACTCACTCGGGCAAGGGGGTTTGACCGCAAGTATATAATTGTACAGTTCACTGCTAATTGATATTGTTTGATTTGGCCCGTTATGTATCGTCGTCAGTTTCACAATTTTTAAACGTGTTTGTTAGAGAGAGGTTTCCCCACCCTTTTAAGGAATATTATGTTCCCTTCTCGAATCGATGTAGGATCTCACAATAACATTCTAGAAGTCTCTTAATTTTTTTCACTTAGATTTTGTGTGAACTGTGATGGAATCTAGCGAATCTTAGGTGGTTTTTTTTACTTACTCATAAAATCCTAGAAGTTTCTTAGTTTTTTCCCCCTAGTTTCATTTGAACTGTGGTGGAAAGTAACCAATTTGGGTGCTTTTCTTAGTTGTCCATTTGAAGTGCATGAAATAGTGGGCTCCGTCATTCGTGACCAAACTTTTTTCAACAGTTTTGCGACCAAACACACCATAGGTAAGCTGAATGCTTAGTGGTTTCTCTTCTCTACATGTGTCAAATTTTAGTCCTAATAATTTTGATGCTTACAAAATTATCAAAGATTGGTGTTTTTTATTTCTATTCAACAACGTACGAATAGTTCCTTACTTTTGGCTAAGGGATTGTGGAACCCTTACCTTGGACTAAATAGAAAAAAATGGATTGATATTGGTGCGATCTCACTCAATATTAAAGATCAATCTTGAATCTAATGGATCTTGTTTTTTTCTAATTTAGGAAGTATCAAATTTCACTAAGTCTATTCGTAGGAAATTTTGAACCAGACCAGTTGTACTTACTTCAACAAAGGAAGCGTGGGCTTATTTTATATATATTTATATTCAATTATACTTTACCACAAGTATCATATTTAACCTTTATGACAGGCAAATATCTTGTATCAATTCAGTGCTCTTTCCATTTATTTCTCTCCGTATCATTCTTAATTTATTTGATTATCTAAATGATTATAAATAGAGAAGTTAAACGAGAAAAAGCAAATCAAGTGTGAGATTGAATGATATTATACAGAGTAGAGATATCTATGAGGTGATGCAAGGATGAGAAAGTATTTTCCATCCCCCACCTCGTATTTCATTCTCTATTCTCTTTAAAATTTCTATTTATTTTTGTAAGGCTCAGAGCGAGGATTCTCTTAGAAAATTTTTTGAGAGATGGGGAAGAGGAATGTAATTCCCGCTCCGATTCCGTTTAATCTCGCCGCGTTAATTGGAAGGTGGGTGAGATTGTTGAAAAAAAAAAGAAAAAAAAAGGTGAGGTTGGCAGTCAAATGTGGAAATTAAGGATGGAAAATGGATAGAAGACAAAAACTTTGGGTGTTTATAAGATGTAAATGCAAGGCAGACGCCATCTATCTCGCAAAAAAGAAAAAGAAAAAGAAAAAGAGAAACCCATTTCTAATTCTTAGCCTTTAAGATATAATTACCAATAAAACCATTTATTTATTTATTGTAAATCAATGAATCAATTATTAGTACAAAAAGCCAATCGATGCTTGTTCAACCTAAAAAGGGTTTAATAAAATATTTATTACCTTTCAAGCTAAGAATTATATCTGTCTTTGAAATAAAAAGAAAACCAGTGGTCACTGTTGGCTGTCCATCATCATTATTTTCTCTCTCTCTTTCTTTTTTTCTTTTGAAAAAAATAGTATCTTTCATCAGCTTCAATATACCTTTAAATTAAATTTTCTTTTCATCAATCTAAACTTATTATTAGAAAATTTTTGTTTTAGATATTGTCAGAGATTGCCTTGCCACTGGTTTAAATATTCATAAATTTATTAAAATTTTAATAGTGGCTTTGTATTATCGGGTTAAAAAAAAGGGAAAAAACACCTCTAATAAAAAATTAGAATCATTGACCCGTCCTAACATCTAGACTACAACTTTATTGTAGAAATCTAACTAACCGTCACTTGATTCTATGGTCTCATCAACTGACATCATCATCCATATATGGGGCTCTTATCTTTACCTGAAAAGATATTAGATGTGGTTTGAGTTTTAAAAAAATATTTAGTAAGTAATCCCATTGTTGGGGTCGAAAAATGCTATATAAAATCTTTAGGTAACTCGTATATTATTTTACTGTTAATAGATGAGACAAACAAATAGACAATTCTAAAGATAAAAGTTGAACTATCAAAAGAATTAGATACGAAAGATTAAGTTAGGAGATCCGATATCACTTCTATCTTTACAAAAAGAAATTAGCTACAAGTTCGAAAACAATATTTTAGCAAAGAATGAAACAGTGAGATACATTTTACTAGACCAGCTTTGGAAGATGGAGCACTGGTGCTTGACAGAAAGCCAGAAAGTTGGAATCCATGTGTTAACCACCATAACCATCTCAGGTTAGCGGGAGTGAAACATTTCTTATAAAAATGTAAAAACTTTCCCCTAATAGTAATGAACCAAAATTAAGAGTATTTACTAAAGGTGGGCTTGAACTATTATAAATGGGATTAGAATCAGACGAGTGCCTGTGAGGACACTAGGCCCCCAAGGAATGGATTGTGAGATCTCACATAAGTGGGAGAGGAGACACATTTTAAACTCGTAAGGTCAATGACGATACGTAAAAGGCCCTACTAGCGGTGCGCTTGAGCGGTTACAAATAGTACCAAACCTAGACACTAACTGATGTACCAACAAGGACGTTGGGCCCCCAAGATGATGGATTGTGAGATCTCATATCGATTGGAGAGGGGAGCGAAATATTCCTTATAAAAATGTGGAAACTTCTACCTAATAGATACGTTTTAAAACTGTGGCTAACGACGATATGTAACGGACCAAAACTAACAATATTTGCTAATTCACCTACAAACGGAATGAACGTCTCTATATTGCTAATTCACCTACAAACTTTAACTAAAAAACAAGCAATATAGATACATCCAAAAAATCACTAATTTCAATAATCTTGAAACTTTGAAATGGTTGGACACAGCAAGTTCCCAAGCAAGTACATCTACTAAAGATTCAGATCTGAGTATTGCATTTTAAAACAAATGTTAACAACCATACCATATGTCACTAAAATTTTTAATATAGTTATAACATATTTTATAGTAATTGGACAAGTTGAGATATCATTAGTCAAAAGTGATTTGGTTGTTAGTTTGGAATTAGTAGTGCACACCTCACTGATTAGCAGAATCTACCACTCCCTAACTTCTTTATATATCCCTCTATTTTTATAACACCAATTTACAAAGTAATTTTAGGGTCCCATTGCCATTTTCTAGATCTCTTAGTGGTGGTTCAAACTTTTATATTTGCTAGAATGATTTTGAGTTATTTATCTATTTAATTCTATCAATGCACTAATTTTCAACTCAACTTTAATATAGTATAACTAATAACGTTATAATCTTCAAACCTCTGAGACTCAAAAAATAAATAATTATAAATCAATGGACTTTTTTTGCCCTATTAATTGACCAACAACACAAACTACTCTTAAAACTGGCTACAAACTTCCACTCCTCAAAGGTACTTATCCAACTTTCTCGAATTTCAACCCATCAATAATGAGATAATGAGTGTTCGAACCTCGAACAATATAGCTACACAATCTCTTTCTATAATCTAAAATTTGGCTAAAATTTTATAGGTTTAGGGACAATCCTATTAGTTAAATTGAATATCTAATAGACCCTAACCCAAAAGAAGAAGACAAATAAGTTAAAGACATAAAGTTAAAAATTATGGATCTTATAGAACATAAAACTATAAATTTAAAACTTTTTAAATTAAAAAACCTATACACACTATAAATTTAAAGACCATTTAAATTTAAGAGGCAAATATCATATACCTCTACAAAGTTTAATATTTATGTTTGAAATTTGAACTTGAGTGAGTGACATCTAATAAAAGAAGTGAGTAGAGAGAATGAAAAGAACACGTCCTTCGAAGTAATTCCATCATGCGATCATAAATAGTTGAAGGGTAGGAAGATACGTACAGAGAATGAAAAGAACACGTCCTTCGAAGTTGCTCACACAGTGTGCCATTTGATTTGACAGAATAGAAGTGGTCAGAAGCCAATGAGCAATGGATGAGATGAGATCATAGCACATCATATGAGCCATTCAATAACCTGTTCCTGCGTCAGCAAAATTTTATTAAATTAGTTCTTTTGTAATACAAGGAAAGGATGATTGTTTGCTATAGGATTTGGAAGTTGCTTCTAATATTGGGAACTCGGATTCTTCTGATACCTTTCTTCTTCATACACAATTCATGTTGTGGCTTTTCTCTATCTATCTCTCTTCCAAAATCATTCATCAAACCACAATTTACTGAAATTTACTTCAGTATCATATTTATAGAATAAATCCAAAGGATCGTATTCGAAATTACAAACAATTAATGAGGTCTTTGACGTAAACTCGATTCATTTTTTTTTGTCAAATTAATGGAATTGAATTATAATGTAGAGTCCACCTCAAAGTTGGAAAAATAATTATTTTATCTCCTATTTTATGGACCTCACAACTTTCTTGAGAATCATGTAACAGTATCATTCAATCTCTTCTACTCTACCCAGAATTATTAAATGAACTAACAATAAAAATCAAATCATGTCCTGTGTAAATAATTGCTCTTCTATTTTAGAAGTTTACTAGTATCTTTTTTTAATGGGTTAAAACCAAAGGGGGTATTTTGATAATTATTATATTATGTTCGATTAACTTTCTTAATACAACTAAGCCATAGGAATAGTATATAATTTCACTTTTTAAGTAATTCTGATTAAATGAAATCAAAGGAATGCCTAATTCTTATTATTCTCATTTTATATTAAATATGAGGGGGGCTATAAATTCAGTTCAAATCCCCTACTCTCCATTTTAACTCTGTAAAGTTAAAATAAAAGAAATATTTAAATATTGAAAAATAAAGGTCTTATGCGGGTGGCCAAGAGACCATCATTGGCCTCCAGAAGAACAAGAAGAAGATAAATATAATATAATTTCGGGGGAAAAAGATTGCGTACCTCCATGACTGACTGGGGTCCATGAATGCAGAGTGGGTTTTTCTTATTTCTTGTGCTGCCTTGATTCACCAACAATCGACTCCTCCATGCGAAATTGCGAATAAATCCCAACAAAGGATTGAAATAGATGCTTTGCTTTGAAGGAGCAAAGACCACGCCTCGAAGCCAAATGCTGAAGCCAAATGTTAACACAAAATTAATGTGGGAAAGAAAACCCAAAAGAAAAGAAGGACCAATAGATGATGCATAAGCATACTCCCAAGACCATTTTCAAACCCTCTCCCGAAAATCAAACCTTCAACATCAATGACGTAAAGAATCACCAACATCTTGGCGTGCTGGGTACAACTGAAAGCGTCAAATTAGATAATAAAAGCAATAAATACACACAAATCAACGTCTTTTGTTTGATCAAAGATTCTTATGCTTTGATCAGCGAGCAGTGCAGAGAAGAAAGATATATTTATATAGAGAAGAGAGAGAAATTTGTCTTCACAGGTGTTGCTCCACCTATGTTGATGAGAAATAACGGCAGAATTAGCTAACCTGGGGAAGTCCGGAGAGCACTTCCTCGACGGCATCTTCGGTTGCATCCATGAAATCACCGCAGCCCTAGCGTTTGCTAGGATGAGTGACTCAGCATACAGAGTAGAAACCACATCCCGTCTCGCGCAATGGAGGATCGAGAATCTAGCTTCCTGCACCTACCGCAAATCCGATCCCTTCAAAATTGGCAAGTGGAACTGGTAAATTTACCTCTTTCCTTGTTCTTTATTTTTCGTTTAAAGCTATAATTCCAGTGATTAAGGGTGAGGATAAGATTCTAACCATTTCTTAAGGAGATATAGTGATAAGAATCTGCTTTCCCCCCTTCTTCTTGGAGATTTTAATGCTTTTTGTTTTCTATCCAAGCAGGATAGGAATATATGTGGATGTCTAATATTTTTGTTTGGATTGAAGGCATTTATCAGTGGAAAAAAACAGGCTTTTATATGTTAAATTATACCCAGAGATATCGAGCTTAACAAGGGACAATCCCCCAATTGTATCTTTCACCATCCGAGTGGTTTCCTCTGCAGGAGGTCGGAAGGCTTGGACTCATCCAGGTAATTTCATTCTCGTTCTCTGAACATTTTCAAGGCAGAGTAGTTAGTTTTCAGATAGAAAAGTCTATTCACCTTCTACTATATCTTCAGATGCTGGTTCATGAATATAAGTTGAAATACTTGATTGATGGGTGAATATGGCTAATCTCTGCTAAGAAATTTGGTTAAGTGTTTGGGCCTTCATTTCTTATCCTTTTGCCTCCCCTTGTGTGTGTGTGTGTGTGGAAGGGGGAGGGGGAGAGAGTCTTAATTTCCAGAATTTCTTCTTTTCTCTATGACCTTCAGTTCCTCTATTCACCAATGTTTGTTACCCCACCACATCCATGCAGACATAATAGACAAACAGCTTAAGAACAACGACGATTTTATTTGGCCAATTGAAGTTCCATTAACAGGAAAGTTCATCATTGACATCGAATTCATTGACTTGAAGATTGCATCGCCTGAGGTGAGCTTATAAATATCTCTCCATTGCGATTGCGTTGCATATTTCTTCCAAAAATGATTGTGAGGTTAACTATAATGAAACAGTTAAAGGATCATTGATAAAAACAAGCCACGCACAGAAGCAGTTGACAAAAGTTATGCCTGATCATTAAGAAAAAGTACTTATCAACGCCTATGTTTAGGAAAGAACTATTTGGATGCCTTTTTTTTTCACTCCTCTTTTAACCCATTGTTGTCAAATTACTAACAGGGTGGGGAACCTTCCTCCATCTGGACTAATGGACTGTCACAAAAACAATCAAATGAACGAGCTCTTATTTCGTTGGGTCGAATGTTGAAGGAAAGCATCCACACAGATATTATAATTAATGCTTCTGATGGAAGCGTTGGAGCTCATCGTGCTATTCTTGCTTCACGATCACCAGTTTTCCACAGCATGTTTTCACATGACCTGAAAGAAAAGGAACTATCCACAGTAAACATCCCTGATATGTCCTTTGAAGCTTGCCAGGCTTTTCTTAGTTATATGTATGGTAATGTCCAACATGAAGAGTTTCTCTCCCATAGAATGGCACTTCTTCATGCAGCTGATAAATATGACATGGATGACCTAAAAGAAACCTGCCATGATAGTCTGCTAGAAGATATTGATGCCAAGAATGTTCTTGAAAGACTCCAAAATGCATCTCTTTATCAATTACCAAAACTGAAGACATGCTGCATGCAGTATCTTGTGAAGTTTGGTAAGATACTAGACATCCAAGATGAATTCAATGTCTTTCTACAAAATGCAGACAGGGATCTAATAGCTGAGATCTTCTATGAAATTCTTAATGCCTGGAAAGGTTTCTAGCTTGATGAAGGTGGTGGTTAATGTTGGCGTGTACATATAAGATTGCTACGAGGATTTATTGTCAGAATTTGTTACTTTGAAGGTGATTCTTTCTCCAAATTGTTTGTCCTGATATTAGTTTAAGGTTTCTCATGATAGATTGATGGTGTTGCAATTGAATGAAATGTAAATAATTTGATGTTCTGTGTTCGGAATTTTTATTCCTATATAGTTTAGCGTTTTGCCATCACAAGATCTCACAATACCCTTGATATCCAAAATGCACTAGAAACCATTTGCAAAAGAATGCCAACCCGATCGTGCAGAGGTTACAGATTTTTAGGTGGAGTTTCGGTGGCAGTAAGGTTGGCCTCAGGCTAACATTGTCATATAACAAGAAGAACAATATTGAACATCATACCGAAGCAAATATGAACTTAAAACATGTATGGCTGACAGAATCAGAAAAGAATTTACAAAAACCTAACCCACCTAGAAAGTAAAGAAGAATACATCAACCCACTTCTGCAAGCTATTACAGAAACGAACACCCCCCACCCACACACACACACAAGCGCACACTCACAAATGTAAAATCCTCCAAAAAAATGGATTCAAACAAAAGCTTCAACCAAAATTGCAGACCAGCAGACCGATCATTACATTACCAGCATATTCTATTCCTCCGTATTACAATCACAACATCCAACATTGAACACAGCAAGAATACTCATCGAGAGCATAAGAAATCAAAGGAAAACTCAATAGAATAACGAAACATCCTACTATCATGACTACCTCATGTTGACAATTTGGAGGAAAAAGTCAGACAAGAAAAAAAAAACTGGCCGAAGTAAAAAATAGCTTAGCTGAAAGTAAAAAGGAGAAAGGGAGAGATTTGCTGAAGATTTTTGGTTAAAATGAGGTGCTTATCCTAAAAATGGCTGAAGAGTGGCCAACTAAATCTATGCCACTTCTTACAAAATTGCCATCTAAAACTTTGGTGATCCATTCGACGTGTTTGTCAAATGGTCAAACGAATGTATTCAATCAACTAGTCAAATGGTCAAACGAATGTATTCAATCAACTAATGAAAACGTGTAAGGAAAATCTCAGGTTTTATCTAACAACCTCCTCCTAAAACCTGTGGTATATCTACCTTATTTTGTTTGAACTCCGATTTGAGTCCTATGGCTCGGTGTCCCTGGCATGTCTTCCAGACTCCACATCTACTTGTGGTATATCTACCTTATTTTGTTTGAACTCCGATTTGAGCCCTATGGCTCTATGTCCCCGACATGTCTTCCAGACTTCACGTCTACCTGTGGTATATCTACCTTATTTTGTTTGAACTCCGATTTGAGCCCTATGGCTCGGTGTCCCCGGCATGTCTTCCAGACTCCACATCTACTTGTGGTATATCTACCTTATTTTGTTTGAACTCCGATTTGAGCCTTATGGCTCTATGTCCCCGACATGTCTTCCAGACTTCACGTCTACCTGTACATCTACCTTATTTTGTTTGAACTCCGATTTGAGCCCTATGGCTCGGTGTCCCCGGCATGTCTTCCAGACTCCACATCTACTTGTGGTATATCTACCTTATTTTGTTTGAACTCCGATTTGAGCCCTATGGCTCTGTGTCCCCGACATGTCTTCCAGACTCCACGTCTACCTGTGGTATATCTACCTTATTTTGTTTGAACTCCGATTTGAGCCATATGGCTCGGTGTCCCTGGCGGCATGTCTTTCAGACTCCACGTCTTGTTCGGCCACCTCTTCTTCGAGCTAGCGCGCTGCAATGGCGGGGTGGTTCACCTCTTCCTAATAGGTCTTCCATCCTCCGCGCCAGTCCAGGTGGTTCACCTCTTCCTAATAGGTCTTCCATCCTCCGCGCCCGTCCACATGGTTCACCTCTTCCTAATAGGTCTTCCATCCTCCGCGCCCGCCCACATGGTTCACCTCTTCCTAATAGGTCTTCCATCCTCCGCGCCAGTCCAGGTGGTTCACCTCTTCCTAATAGGTCTTCCATCCTCTGCGCCCGTCCACATGGTTCACCTCTTCCTAATAGGTCTTCCATCCTCCGCGCCAGTCCACGTGGTTTACCTCTTTCTAATAGGTCTTCCATCCTCCGCGCCAGTCCACGTGGTTCACCTCTTCCTAATAGGTCTTCCATCCTCCGCACCAGTCCAGGTGGTTCACCTTTTCCTAATAGGTCTTCCATCCTCCGGTACCTAGCCGAGAGGTTGACTGATTGCTCTATCTCCAACTCTTGGATGTAAAGGTGGTTTGCCGTGCACCAAACTTGCGTGAGCAACTGTCGTCGATCATCACGGATCCTAAGTATCCCGCGCTTGATGGAAATGTGGCAGCCGGCCTTATCGAGTTGACCCAGTCTCACAATATTAGCCTTGAGCCTCGGGATGATGTAGACGCCGGTCAGCTTGTGGTGCTTGCCGACGAACAAGATGGTGTCGTGCCCTTCGATCTCGATGACGGAGCCATCGCAGAATTTCACCGTCCCGCGAATCCCAAAATCAAGCTCGGAGAACGCAGACTTGGCCCCGGTCATATGGTTTGTTGCCCCTGTGTCGAGGACCCATCGCCGGTGCTCTTGCTGCTGCTCGCCTCTTTTACCGATTTGAGCGAACACTCGCTCCTCCTTCAATTGACTTGGCTCTCCAGTCGGTGCCTTTTGTCGAGGACGAAAATAAGTCATAGGAATAAATAATAAAAAGATCGAATCAGAGTTCAAGGCTCACCGGGGCAGTTATGTCGAAGATTTGAGCGAACACTCGCTCCTCCTTCAATTGACTTGGCTCTCCGGCCGGTGCCTTTTGTCGAGGACGAAAATAAGTCGTAGTAATAAATAATAAAAAGATCGGATCAGAGTTCGAGGCTCACCGGAGCAGTTATGTCGTCGTTGATTACCTCCGTGGCGAGTGGGACCTTGTCAAGGTCGGGTACTGAAACAGTGGCGGCGGTCGCTGTCTCCCTTATTCACTTCGCTCAACGACAACTCAACACGAGACTTGTGTGTTGTTAGGTCGACGCTCTAACCACTCGAGCTATTCAACTTGAATGTTAATAAAATTGTCTCCTCCGAAATGATATACAAAGATGGCTTAAAATAGCTGAAAGTAAAAGGAGAGAGGGAGAGATTTGCTGAAACCTTTCGTTAAAATGATTGCTTGTATCTTATGAACAGATTTACCTATTTAAATATCTAACTTATCGCTCGAGAGTGGCCAATTAAATCAGTGTCACTTCTTACAAAATTGTCATTAAAACTTTGGTAATACATTCGAAGTGTTTGTCAAATGGTCATTCTTACAAAATTGTCATTAAAACTTTGGTAATACATTCGAAGTGTTTGTCAAATGGTCAAACGAATGTATTCAATCAACTAATGAAAACGTGTAAATCTAAATAAGGAAAATCTCAGGTTTTATCTAACACTCACAAGCTATCAGTCCACAAACTAATCACCTAATTCAAAACTCAATCAAAAGCAAAACGCTCCAACGTAGAATTCCACACAAATGGCTTCTGAACACAACTTACAAAACACATTATAGCTCAATAAACTAATTGAACAAAAACATCACCTCAGCGAGAAGATCAACGATGCAACTCCATCCACACTTTTGGATCGGTTCTTTACGCCGAAGAATCGCTCTGAAAAGGCTCCATCTCCGGCAGATTGAGAGAAGTAAACAAAAGGAAGGACGGAGATTACCCGTTGGAAAAGAAGAGTAGCGGAATCGAAAATGCAGAGATGGAGGAGACCGGAAAATGAAGGGGGAGAACAGAGAGAATGGAAGGTGACCTGGAATTTGCAAATGGGAATAATGGAGGGAATATTTTTGGAATATATTATTCTATGCTTTTTTTTTTTTTTTTT